AGTGCCTAGTTCAATCCCTTTTTCTTTAGTTTAGCTTAGTCTTGTTTTTGGTAATTAGATTTATCATAGAAATCTTCAACATCAAACCATAATACCCCTTTTTGTTACTTGCAATTTATCCTAGATTTCGCATTGATTGTGCAATACCCCCGTTTCCTTCGGATTCGACCCTAACTTGCCACTATCTAAATTAAAATTGATAGAGCTAGGTTAGGAGATAAAAATTGTAATATTTGATCTGGGTAGTAGTAACGACCTATTAACCACCGATCAGAACTCCACAATGGAACAGAGAATCCGAACGGAGGAATCGAACCATGTTAGACATGGTTCGATCAATGATAGGTCTTAGTGAACTTCCTATTTCTTTCTGGGGACATGCACTTCTAACTGCGGCACTAACACTGAACCGTGCTCCGTCAAAAGCTGTCGAAAAGACTCCATATGAGTTATGGACGAAGAAACCTACGAGGTTGTCTTTTCTTAAGATTTGGGGTTGCGAAGCATATGTCAAGAGATTAATTTCTTACAAACTTCACCCAAAATCAGACAAGTGTCTCTTTGTGGGCTACCCAAAAGAAACTAAGGGGTATTACTTCTACAATAAATCCGAGAACAAAGTGTTTGTTGCTCGTGATGGTATCTTTTTGGAGAAGGAACACCTTTCCAAAATGACAAGTGGGAGGAAAATCGAACTCGACGAAGTTCGAGAGGTAGAGCAACAAAGTCAACATGACAATACTGACAATCAAAGTGCTTTAGAAGCAGCTATTGACATTGGTCAGAGTCAAACCGACAATGCAAATGCTCAACCTATTACCCTGCGTAGGTCGCAACGGCCAAGATCTCAGCCAGACAGATACCTTGGTATTGTCTTAACCGAAGATCAAGACATCCTAGTTATGGATGGTGATGAGGCAGCGACATACAAACAAGCTATGACGAGCCACGACTCTGCTAAATGGCAAGAGGCCATGAAATCCGAGATGGACTCAATGTCTGAAAATCAAGTTTGGGACTTGGTTAATTTGCCCGAAGGTTATACACCTATCGGTTGCAAATGGATTTTCAAATTGAAAACAGACAAAGATGGAAATATATCTATATACAAAGCTAGACTGGTGGCAAAAGGTTACAGGCAAATTCACGGAGTTGATTATGATGAAACCTTTTCACCAGTTGCAATGCTTATTTCCGTCTGGATCATCCTAGCGATTGCTGCATATTATGAATACGAAATATGGAAAATGGATGTCAAAACAGCCTTCCTTAATGGGATTTTGGAAGAAACTGTGTATATGACACAGCCGGAAGTTTTTGTTGATCCAAGCAATGCTGGGAGGGTAAGCAAGCTTAAGAAGTCCATTTATGGACTAAAGCAGGCAAGCAGAAGTTGGAATCTGCGATTCGATGAAGCCATTAGTAAGTTTGGTTTTATCAAGAATCCAGATGAGTCTTGTGTCTAAAAGAAGGTTAGTGGGAGTGACATCACATTCCTAGTCTTATATGTCGATGACATATTACTCATTGGAAACAGCACTAAACTGTTAAAGTCCGTAAAGGGCTTGCTGGGAAAGTGTTTTTCAATGAAGGACTTGGGAGAGGCACAATACATATTGGGCATCAAGATCTATAGGGATAGATCTAAAAGGGTGATTGGATTGAGCCAACGTACTTATATAGATAAGGTACTGGCACGATTCAACATGGAAGGGGCCATGAGAGGGCACCTACCTATGTCCCATGGCATAACTCTAAGAAATAGTGTCCACAGATGAGCGAGAGAGAATGAGTCAGATTCCATATGCTTCAATTATTGGATCGATCATGTATGCCATGATATGTACTAGGTCGGATGTATCGTATGCCTTGAGTGCTATGAGCCGATACCAATCAGACCAAGGAGAGGCGCATTGGAATGCGGCCAAAAATATCCTAAAGTACTTGAAAAGGAACAAGGATAAATTCCTGGTCTATGATGGTTGTAATGAGTTGGTTGTTGAAGGTTATACTGACGCGAGCTTCCAGACTAACAGAGACGACACCAAGTCGCAACCGGGGTACATATTCTGCCTTAATGGAGGAGCGTTTAGTTGGAAGAGTGCTAAGCAGAGCACCACTGCAGATTCTACAAGTGAAGCCGAATACTTGGCAGTTTCGGAAGCAGCTAAGGAGGCAGTTTGGATTCGTAAGTTCATTTATGAACTTGGTGTTGTACCCTCAATCAAGGGTCTAATAGACCTCTATTGTGATAACAATGGAGCTATTTCTCAGGCCAGGGAGCCAAGGGAACATCATAAGGTCAAACATGTCAAGCGGCGATTTCACATGGTAAGCGAATGGAAATCCGAAATTGAAATCAGAATTTGTAAGATTGGAACGAACGACAATGTTGCTGATCCTCTGACTAAAACTTTGTCTCAAGTGAAGCACAACAAGCACGTTGAGGCAATGGGAATCAATCACATTGGAGATTGGCTTTGATTTCCCTGTATAGATGTTTTAATTAAACTCTATGTCTTAATGTAAAACACTATATTGAACCATTCAATTTTGGAGCAATTAATTTTCTGCAAATTTATGATTATTCCATATCTATTTAATTGTGGTTTAGAATTAAATAATGAGTCCATTCGATTTTGAGAATATTCAAAACAGGGTTTCAAGACCATGTCTTGGTTAAAGAAACACCTGTTAAGTGAACATTGAATATTTTAATCGAAAATTAGCCCTAATCGAGGTTATTTAAACGATGGACGATTAATGACCACTTGAGATTAGTGTGTAGTATGACTTATAGCACCATTTCTTGTGCTACAAGGACATGATAGTCATAAATCATTTGCACAGGTACTAGTTTGGAACTATACCGGATAGACCTATGAGAATACTTTAAGAGATATCAAATCGTCATAAGTATATTTCTCATTATAGCTATCGGAACCTTTTTCCTTGACCATGAGTATTGCAAGTTCTTTTGTTTGAGTACTAGTCATTTTGATGTTGTCAAACGTCTGTCATAAATGGGGATTATAACAGCAGCACTCAGGCGACTAGGTCCTCTTAGTAAGGGAAGCTTACAGTACAAGACTGGGAATGTCCCCTATTAACAATAGGGAATATGTCTTTGTTGTTTACAAGGCCTCTCGAAGAGCGAGACTGTGAAAATGCATGGTTGTGCTCAGATGGATTTTAGAAATTATCTGTTTATTGACAGTCAAACTCAGGAATTGAGAAACACTTCTGGACGTAATAAGGATGACGAAGAATCTTACCTTATAGTTTATGAAGAGACATTAAGCGACATAAGAAAAGGGCTATACACAAATTGCACACTTGTCCAAAAAGACAAGTGGGAAATTGAAATGAATGGTGTCCTTCCAACAAGTGTATTATTCCGATAGAGGGTTTAGAATTATTGTATAGCTAATTCTTCAGTAAGGTCAAGTGATCGAAATGTCTAGGCGGAGTGCCGCTTCCGATCAGTAATATTAATGTACAATTAATATTACAGCTTAATCTTAACTGAACCCTTCAGGTCGAACCCAATCGAACAACCGATCCGAGACGACTAGTCAATCCGAAGGATTTAATGAGTCGTCAGAGTTTTACGAACAAAGACGTCAGATATCGAGCTTAGAGCATCGACACCGAGCGTCGCAAGTCGAGTCGAATTTAGAATTCGACGAGACGCGAAATCAATCAAGTTACAAGTTCGAGTTAGGCCGTAGCCTCGCATTGGCTTAGCCATGCGAGGGCTAGGCTATCTCGAGCTAGCATGTGCATCGCAATTCTAGTCGCAAGCCTAGCATGCTAGGCCCACGCATGCTAGCTAGCCACCGCAAGCATCGCAGCATTGCGTGTGTGCTAGCATGCCATGCGCCCAGCCATCGCAAGGCTAGGCCTTGCTAGCATGCTAGTCGCTGGCGCACAGCTAGCCCAGCAAGCATCGCAAGGCTAGGCCTGTGCATGTGTGTGCGTGTGCCTCGCATAGCATCGCACAACACCACGCACCTGCCAGCAGCTTGGTGGGCTGTGCATGTGGGTGCGTGTGTTTTGCATAGCAGTGCCCAACAAGCAGCTCGCAATGCCTCGCCTAGCAGCAACGCCTAGCATGCGTGGCTCGCTAGCAGCACGCATGCACTGGCTGGCTGCGCATGCTAGCTGGCTGTGCGTGTGTGTGCTAGCTGGCTGGCCAGGCTGCCCAGCCTTGGTGCTAAGCGCCAGCTGGCCAGGCTGCCCAGCCTTGGTGCTAGGCGCCAACTGGCAGCCAAGGCAGGCTGCCAGCCAGCCACTTGGATGGGGAGAGCCGGTTTGCTAGTGGGAACCAAGGGGTGTGAGCTTTGCCTTTGGGAGCAAGGCTATGGTCCCCCCCTTGGAAATGGTCCTCACCTAATCTCTCATCCTCCTTGTGCCACATGTAACTTATTGATTGAATTGCAATTTTATTTTTGTTTTACTTAAAATAAAATGGGAAAATTGCAAATCTCCCACATTTATTGAGAGTTGGAATTCAAGGTTCATTTCCCTATAAATACGAAGGTTTTGGGATTTGGGAAGAACACTTGAGTGGAACTAAAAAGGCATCTCCTTAGAAAAGTGAGAAATCCTTAAGTTCGTAAAACTCTAGTTTTTATTAGTCGGGTCCCGACTAACCTTCGGGACTTCGATCGTTCGGGTCGGGTTCGTGGGTACGAGCCGTCGGAGACCTTTGCATTTGCGGGGTTGGAGTTTTGAAGTCAGAGCTCGGGATTCGAGCGAAGCACGCGCCAATGGTAAGAATGTCTTTTCCTTCTCTCTCTTAATTGTTGTTTAATTAGTGATTGCATGCTTAGTCGCTTTAATTAGTGTGTGGGTCTTGGGTGGGTTTCCCTTCCGCGTAGAGTCGGACTCTACGAAACCCAACACTCTTTCCTTTTCTTCAGCTCCAACGCATAAAGATGTGCAGCTCTCCCATACACTTCATCCAAGGTTTCAAATACTTGACCACACAGCTTTAACTACAAAGCAGTAGTCAGACCACTCTCAAACTTCCTAGCCTTAGACTTTTCTGTAGAAACAGACTCCTTAGCAAATCTTGACAGCTCAACAAACTTAGTGTAGTATTCAGTGACCGACATATTCCCCATAGCAAGATTAGAAAATCCCTCAGCTTTTTGTTTATGTAAGAAGCTAGGGTAAAACTTGTCCCTAATCTTCTCTTGAAACATAGTCCAATTAAATCCAGGTAATGCCTTAATGGTAGCCTCATTTTGCTGCCACCAAAGGTCAGCTTCACCCTTAAGGTAATAGGTAGCACAGCCTACTTTTGAGTTCTCTGGACACCCTACTGACCCGAACAGTTTCTCAAACTCCCTCAACCAGTTTTCTAGTATAGTTGGATCAGGCTCTCCTTGATAGGTCGGTGGCTTACTGACAAAATAAGTGCGCGGTTTTAGGGTGATTTAGTGCTCACTTATTTCCATATTCTAGCTATTTTTCTCACTTATCGCTCTGTTTCCGCACTTTCTTCATATTTGTAATGCTTCACGGGTTTTGTTAGTGTTTTGATGCATTTTTAAGTATTCTTAGACCCTTATGAGACATCCCGATGGTTGGGTAAGAAGCCATGGCCTTGAGGTATCTTTGGCTAGGGTTGAATTTCATTTGAAGACCTCCTAGGCCTCTGCACGGTCAATGCTTGGCACGGCCGTGTAAAGGAGTTTGAAGATTAGAAAAACCTTCTATGAAGGCTACACAAACGTGCAGCAATTGGCACGCCCGTGCTGGGAGCTGCACAGCCGTGTATGATGGTGGCACGCCCGTGCATGATAGCTGTCGAGCACGTCGAAGCTTCTACCTTGGTTGCACGCCCGTGCAGCTATGTGGCACGTCCGTGCCAGGCCCCAGCTCCAATTTCCAGATCTTCTGCCCATGCTGCACGGCCGTGCAGTGTTTGGCACGTCTGTGTCGATCTGTTTAAGAGAAGTTTCTTGTTCCCTCCGCCCCCTTTGTTTAGGACTAATATAAATAGATTGATTGCCTCATTTATAAGGAGAGAGGGTAGAGAGAGAAAGGCTTAGTAATAGTGCTTTAAGGTTTAAACATTTTTTTCTTAGATTATGTTTAGTTCCTAATCAAATTTAAATACTTTGTAGTTGATTTGAAGATTATTCCAAGTTTGAAATGTATTGCAACCAAGATTATTGAATTTTCTCATTTAGTAACATTTCTTATCTCTCTTTACTTCTAATCTTTTGTTTGCTTTATTTTGTATGTTTATTTGAATCTCTCAGTCCCTATTTATGTTTGGTTGAATGTTTAGCACTATTTTTGGTGAATTTCTCCTTGATGATTGTTGAGAAAGATAGAGCCCTTGATTTTTATTTTGTGCTTTTCAATATGATGTGCGAGTAGTTCCTTAGCTAGGGGTTGGGTTTGGATTATGTGAGTTTGGGAGTGATTTTGATGAAGGATTGTGATTAAAATGGATTATATGGGATTGCTTGTTAGTTCTTCATGATAGGAGTAATTAACCTAGATTATTGAACTTGATGGCATGAAATGTTTGGTTCGACATGGTAATGTGATTTGAATGTTTCATTACCTATTACAATATGATTATGCATCTTTTGTTGCTAAGTTAATGAGGGATCTAAGCTTAGTGATTTGAGTTGTTTTCATATCGTTTGAAGTTGGTCTTGCATGTGGTCTTTGCTATTCCATTATCCTTGTTCCTCCCTATTTGCCTAATTGCTATTGGTTGAGTGAATCCCATTCCCCTAGTGTTTTAATCCCTTGAATTCAATCCTTAGTTGTAGTTTGTTAGTTAATCACCACTTACACCTTGATTTTGATTTAGCTTGAGCGTTAAGATTATTTAGCGATTGATTCCCGTTCTCCGTGGACCGAACCCTTGCTTGCCATTGTACTTGTTTGAGTGAGGTGTTTATTATAAATGTGTTTGACTTAGCCTAGATTGTGCGACTGATTTAGCGCTTGTCAAAATGGAGCCATTGCCGGGGACGGTGTTGTTGATTGCTATCTGATTGCTTGAATCTAATTCATTATAAAAAATAAAAAAAAAAATAAAAAAAAAAAAAACCACAAAAAGAGTTGTTTTCTTTTTGGCTATACTTGTAGCCTTGCGACTAATTGTGTTTGTTGAGTGTGTATGCGTAGGATTCAACATCGTGAGTTGGTGTCTTACGATCCCGAGATTGAGCAAACTTTTAGAAGAAGAAGCAGATCCTGTTCGCGGTCCTCCACTTCCCCAAGAAGAGAGTTCGACCCGGAGCCTCAAACAAACCCAATGGGTGATCCACAGCCACCACTTCAAAGACCTTTAAAGGAGTTGAGAACTCCGGGAGCTTATAGAGCTTCAAGTGGGATTGCTCCCCCAAACACTCCGACCAAGGATTTCGAGATTCGGCCAGCAATGATAAATTTGATTGAGAGGAGACAATTTAATGGAGCAAAACACGAGAGCCCTCTTGCACATTTGAACGAGTTTGAGAAATATTGCAACACGATCAAGGTGAATGGGGTCACTCAAGAGTTTGTGAGACTAAAGCTATTTCCTTTCTCCTTAATAGGAAGGGCTATTGAATGGCTTGAAAAGGAGGTGAGACCCAATTCCTTGAGAACTTGGGATGAGGTCACCACGACTTTCTTAGGGAGATTTTATTCTCAAAAGAAAACCGTCGAAGCAAGGGCGTTGATCCAAGATTTTCGGCAAAGGGCTAGTGAGACTATCTATGAAGCTTGGGAGAGGTACAAGGAGTACCAAAGAGAGTTCCCTCACCATGGAATCCCAACATACCAAGTTTTACAAATCTTCTATGGAGGCTTGAGTCCTCAAGGAAAAACAAGCTTGGATGCGAGAGCCGGTGGGCCAATCATGAATAAAACCGAAGAGCAAGTGATTGAGATTATTGAAGATATGGTAAGATACCACATGTACTGGCAAGAAGGAGAGAGGGAGTCTTCGAGCAAAGGAGGGAGTGCGGTTTACTCCGTTGATCATCTCAACACCATCAATAATTTGACATCTCAAATCGCCAACCTTGGCAAGGAGATGACATCAATCAAGGAAAAGCTTGAGTCCTCCTCTTCACACCAAGAGAGTCCCTCCCAATATAAGGGGAGAGGTATGAGTTCTAACCCTTCTACTTCTACATCTAATAACATGCCAAATGGGTGTTTATTTTATGAAGATTGTGGATCATATGATCATGACACCTCTTATTGCAGTTATGATTCTCAACCCCAACCCCAGTATGAGGATGGTAATGAACTTGAAAATGAACATGTCAATGCTTTGTCTTATGATAATAGACCTAGGAATGGCAATCAAAGATATTTACCACCTAATCAAAGAGGGAAAAGAGGAAATTCCTTCAATCAAAGAGGAAATGATTATGATTACCATAACCAAAACCAATGGGGTGGTAGGAACCAAAGGGACCAAAATCCCCAAGGTAACTACAACCAACAAGGTGGTTATGGTAACCATAACCATAATAATCAAGGGAACTATGGGAATCAAGGCCAATACCATCAAGGGGGGAGTTCTAATAACCGGAACAATTGAAATAATAATGTTAATAGAGGCTTTAACAATCAAAATGTTAATTCCAATGTGAGAGGTCGTAGAGCACAACAAGACAATTATTACACTCAAGCACCTCCACAAAAGTCTAGCCTAGAAGAGATGATGGAAAGCCAAGCCAAAATGTTTAATACCTTCATGGCCACTAGTGACAAGAAATTAAATGAGGTTATGACTCACAACAAAATGCTAGAAACCCAAATCTCCCAATTAGCCAATTCCATTAAAGAAGGAACTAGCACTTCTAAACTTCCACCCCAAGGGCTTGACCCCAAGAGACCGGTGAATGCCATTTCTACTAGGAGTGGGAAGTTGTTGAAGGAGAGTGAGCCAAAGAAAACCAATGAGAGAGTGACTATGAATGAGCCCTCCCTTGAGAGTGAGTTTGAGAAAGAAGATGAGAGAAGTTGTGAAAACAAAAAAAGTGATGAAGTTGAGAAAAAATTTGGAGTTGAAAATGAAAGAAAGATTGAAAAAGAAAAGAGAGTTCAAAAAGAGAAAGAGAAGGAACCAACACAATTGCAAAAATTTCCATATCCTCATAAGTTTGTGAGACACAAGCTAGATGTGCAATTTGGTAAGTTCCTAGAGACCTCGAAACAAGTCTACCTCTCAATACCCTTTACCGATGCCATAAAACAAATGCCTAATTATGCTAGGTTTCTAAAGGATATTGTGAGTGGAAGAAGAAATTGTGATGTTGTTGAAACGGTGAACTTCACCGAAAGTTGTAGTGCAATCATAGTGAACAAGATGCCTCCAAAGTTAGGAGATCCGGGTAACTTTTCCATTCCTTGTGCCATAAATCGAATGCAAATTGATAATGCTTTATTTTACTTAGGGGCTAGTGTTAGCCTTATGCCATATACGGTATACCAAAGACTTGATATAGGGGAGCTTTTGCCTACTAACATTACCCTCCAATTAGCGAACAGATCAATCAAATTCCCTAAGAGCAAGGTAGAGGATGTTCCTCTAAGGGTTGGAAAGTTTTCTATACCGGTTGAGTTTGTTGTGCTTGACATGGATGAGGATGTGTGTATTCCTATCATTCTGGGAGACCTTTTCTAGCTACTTTCGGTGCTTTGATTGATGTGAAAAGTGCTAAAATTACACTCAAAGTAGGTGAAGAGGTCCTTGAGTTTGATTTGAATGCAAGCATGAAATATCCTAGTTTTACTTTAGAGAAATGCATGAAAATTGACACCATTGATTATATTGTGAATTCTATGCAAGAGCACTTGCTCTCTACTAACAATGCCCTTAAGAATGTCTTGTTAAACAAGGAAAAGATAGGTGATCAAAGCAAGGAAATGGCATGTATGAAGAGTTGCTTGATGAGAATGTTGAAGGAAATGTTGAGCAAGCTTGCATGGGAATCACACCCAAACATGCTATGGAGATTGCCACTACAAAGGAAGGTAAGGGTGTGCCTATGGTAGAGCTAAAACCTTGACCATCACACCTTAGGTATGAATTTCTTAGACCCAATTCCACATTTCTCGTTATTGTGAATGCATCTTCGAATGAACACCAAAATCGAATGTTATGTGGTGTGTTAAGAAACCACCAAAATGCCTTGGGCTATACCCTTGATAATCTCAAGGGTATTAGTACCGCTATTTGCATGCATCACATAACATTGGAGGAGGGTGCAAAGCCATCCATAGAGAGGCAAAGAAAACTCAACCCTCAAATGGGGGAGGTGGTGAAGAAGGAAATCACCAAGCTCCTAGATGGAGGCATCATCTTCCCCATTTCGAGCTCAAAGTGGGTTTCCCCCGTGCATGTTGTTCCTAAGAAAGGGGGTATGACCGTAGTTGAGAATGAGGAAGGTGATCTCATCTCAACTAGGACCATGACCGGTTGGCGGACGTGTATAGGCTATAGACATCTAAATGCATCTACCAAAAAGGATCATTTC